TGCAAACAGTGAATGAAGGAGATGGACTTGGGTTCACACTTTGGTGCCAGATGCAATGCGGTGCTTCTGTACTACATGCAAGATGAGTAGACAGGTGAATAAACTGATAGTAGGATTTTATACAGCCTCCTATTGCTGCAATGCCTCAATACCTCCAACATAAAATTAAGAGCCATAGTAAAGTCCCGAGAGGACTCCTTGGAGCCACTGGACCTGGAGGTGTTTTGGACTGATATTTATAAAAAAAACCCTATCTAGAACTGCACCTGCAAAAATCACCATAAACACATCCAAAACAGACCAAAATAACTACAAAGAAAGCTTAAATAAGGAAAAAAAATGAGCAGTCAACATTTTACAAAAATTCAATTTTAGCAATCATTTGTTATCATAAACATTTTTAGAGGCTACATACATTTTTACCTGTCACATTACAACTTAAGATTCTTTCCTCTTCAACTTTTACAAACAAAAATGTATTGCTGAGAAAAGTAAAGCAGACTGACTACTCCGCAGACTAATTTAAAAACAAGCAATGCAAGCACCCCCAAACTGCCTTACCGGTATGACTCCACCATAATGGCCCAAGTGAGCAGCAGATAGGGCAATTTTAGTCTCCATGCACATTTAAGCCTTGATAGTCTTAATAACATTACTCAAGAGGATATACATTAGCAGCAATTGTGGCACTGGATTTTGGCCTTATCTATAATATGCAACTTCTGCTGGTATGACTAAAAACCCATCTATTTGGGCTCATATTAACTTCTAGTTTTAAAGACACATGTAAACCAGTGTGGCTTATTTTACTGAGCTAAATGGTTTAAGCCAGCAGCAGAGCAGTGTTTAACAAGCCACAAGCTGGAACAATCTGGCTCTGATTCGTAGCAGACCAGGTGGCTTCTACAGCCCGTCAGCAGCAAGGGGGCATAAACTGGAAGTTGCGCAGCCCAGGTGCATGCACAGGCAAAGCTGCAGGCTGGATTTGGCCTGTGAGTTGTTTGCTGCCAACCCAGGGGTGGGCAAAATATGGCCTACAGACTGGATGAGGCTCACCAACTGCTTGTATCCAGCACACCCCACAACTTATACCAGCTTGGGACCTGCACAGCTACAAACGAACAGCAGCTTGGAAGCTACAAACAGGTGGCAGCTTTCCCCTGGGGATCGGGGCATCGCTCAAGCCCCTCCTTGGGACAGAAGGATGGAGGCTGAAGCTGCCGCCCGCACACACACCAGCTCTCCTCCCCCCGTCCCCCCATCCCATTCCACATAGGGAGGTTTGGTGAGCTGTTGTGGGGTGGGGGAATAGGGAAAGCTCCCTATGTGGTCCTCAGGCCCAAATAACTGCCAACCCCTGTGTTAACAGAGTGTGGGTTAACTTAGGGGGTTAAGGGGAGGTACAAGCTAATGAGATTTTCAGTCACATAAGTATAAATTGTCTAGTGTAGATAAGACCTTTGTGACACAGACATCTACCCCAGCTGGAAATGAAACAAACATTTTCATGTTGGTTGCAGAACATCACTGACAGTAATGACGCTGCAGAGTCGCACTAGACACGTGAGGCCAGAATTCTGCCCTTTGTCTCTACTGCCCTGGGCTGAAAAGAAAACGCCTTAGGTGGCAAACACTCATCTGTTTTGTCCATAATGATTGAAATACTGACTGAATGACTGAATTACTAACCATATTGGATATATTAATTTGCATATTAACACATTTTAAAAACAATAATAATTCAATGGTTTTTTCCATCCAGAAAGCTCCGAATATTTTTAAAAAGTGGAATATCTGGAGGCTTTTAATAAAAACAAAACAAAACACTTCAGCTGCCTGAAAATCATTGGGACAGTTAACAAAAGGTTTCTTACCACACCCAGTTTTTCAGAAGCATTAGCTTTCCACAGACGAATGTTCATCTCATCTGACCCACACAGAATGTACTTATTGTCAAAGGACCACTTCACAGAGATGACATGCTGCATTCGCTTTGTATGATATACCTCCCTAAAACAAAAAGAAACATTAAAGAAGTATTACAGTTCCCTTATCAATCATTTCTGTTTAAAATATCATGGAGCTTTTTCTTTGACTCACAGAACATTCTTCAAATTGAAACACAACAAATTAAATGCAGGCACAACATACCAACTAGGTTGGCATAAGTTTAGAATCACAGATCATAGAGAAGTAGGGCTAGAAGGGACCTCCAGAGCTCATCTAGTCCAACCCCCTGCCTGAGGCAGGATCATCCCTATGCAAACTATTCTGTACAAATCCATAATCTAAACTAGAGGTGCACCAATCTATCAGTCCCTAACGTATCAGCACCGATAAAAGGAAAATTGAAATTACTGGCAATCGGCTTTCTTTGGCTGTGGCGAATAACGTTGCTGATAAATATTACATGTATGAGCGCAGCCGCAGCATGCACATGGCTAGGAATGCAGCCCGGCAGCTTGGAAAGCAGCATCTGGCCCACAAGTCTGTGGGGGTGGGGTAGATCAAGGCCCCTCACGGTGAAGGAGGGAGTGGGGCTGGGGCAGGCGCTGCCTAGCCAGGGCAGGGCATGGGACAGAACAGCAGGCAGCTCGTCTGAGGGGCGCAGGGAGGGGGGCAGCTCCTGCCACTGTGTGCACCCCCAGGTGAGGCATGGTGGTTATGAGCCCCCTAGATCTGTGCGCAGGGCAGGCTGGACTGCCTGCTGCAGGTTCGGGGCCGGGGACTGTGCCAGTCTCTTCCTGGCTGGGGGGCAGGGCTGGGGCTGTGTTCAGGCTGGGTGAGGGTGGGTGGCGGAGGTGAATTTTGGGGTTGCTGTAGCCCCTCCCCACCATAACTCCCCCTCCCAGCACTGTCACTGCCCACCCCATCCCATCCGGCCGGAGCACAGCCCTGACCCAGCCCTGCTGCTGAGAAAAGGCTGTTGCAGCCCCCAGCCCTGAGCATGCAGCAGGCAGCCTGCCCTTGCCCTACTCAAAGATCCGGGGGTGGGGGGGGAAGGAATGTGCCACACATACCTTTCCCAGTGGCAAAGTCACCCGCCAAGACGAGCCACCCACAACTCTGTCCAGTGCACCCTGAACGATGGCTGTGCAGCACCTGCCCCTGCCCTAGCCCCACTCCCTCCCTCACTGTAGAGGCCTCAATCTGCACCCCCCTCACCCCTTCCCTTCCCAACAGCCCTTCCTCCCAACAGACTTACCAGCTGGACACTGGTCTCCAAGCTGCCGGGCTGCATATTGGCAATCGGATTGATATCAGCCGATGTGGCCAGTTAATAACCGGCCATCGGTATCGACCCAAAAAACCTTTATCAGTGCACCCCTAATTTAAACTCTTTGTAAAACTACTGTCAACCCTAGAAAAGATGTTAAAAATATATTCGCTCTGTTCAAATGCATAACTAGCTAAAAATTTACTCCATATTCTACCAAAAGTACTCATCCAGACACTGGCTAATATAAATTGCATCTGTAATGGTATTCATTGGAATAATGTCATATTGAGCAAGCGTTACAGATATAGGACTGCAAAGCTAAACAGAGCAATTCTGGCACTGACTGTACGAAGAAGTAAACAGATAACAAAATCAGGCCTCTACCTCCATAAGCACAGATGAATCAATTACTATTCACTACTATCTCATTTCTCTAATCCAGGAAAACTAACAGTCCAGGATAATATTTCCTCTTCCAAAACCCTCCTCTCAATTGTATTATCGTGCAACATCCCACTTTTTAAAGAGCAGCAGATTTCTCAGCTTGCTTCCAGACAGTGTATAGGAATCCAATTTCCTTAGTCTAACTGTATTTTTCAGTTACTTTAGGTAAATGTTATGATAATGGCAGCTTAGTAGTATTCCACGCTATTGAAAAAGAATGTCTATTATTATGGCATTATAGACTCTCTCATATCTCCCCCTCACTTACTGATAAAATAGCATTAATAAAATTTCATAATTCACTGTTTTTAGGCAGAAGGTAGGACAAGATGAGATCTTAGAAACTAGTTCAGAGAAGCGTGAGTGTTTAGGCAAAAGGCTACTTTGTCAGTACATTTTGCTTAGTAATACAGAAGTTAAAAACTGGTGGAGGAACCGCAATCTGAAACAATTCCAAGACTGAAGGAAAATAAAGAACACTTGTATATCAATTATCAAGGAAACTGAAAAAGCTGACTTTCAGTAAGATAGAGAGGCATATAAACAGTTTTAAAGAGTAAGTATGGTACAGGCTATCCATAACAAAACAGACTCCCTGCAAATCAGGTCTGGATAATACATATTCCAGCACCCTAAAGGTAAAGAGTTAATAAACCATCGGCAACTGCAATTCTTCTAGTAAAATAAAGCAATAAAAGAACAACTGTAAGCACATATAATAGAATAATGAAATTAAATCAGCTGCAAGAAAGGTCACAGGTTTATGAAAAACAAATGATGCCAGACAAGCCTAGTGACTTTCTTTTATTTCAATCTAATGGAAAAAAACGTGATCTAAAACTTCACATCAGATTTAATATGCTGCTTTATGAAATCACACATAAAAGATTAATTCAGATTGGCTGAGATAACAACACACAAACACAGATTAAAACCTAGTCAGAGAAGCACTCACAAAAGGTTGTAAATTAAGTTTGAATTAGATGGAAGGGAATCAGATAGAACAAGCATCTAGAACAGTTCCACAAGCACCTGTGTTACATACAGTTTTATGCAACATCTTTAGTGAAACATTCAAGAGTAGAAAACTACTCATAAAAGACAGATCCCACAATACTGGGAAGCACTGCAAATGTCATATAATAGCGCCTACAAAGATTACCAATATATGTAAGAAATAAAATGCACACCAGCACACAAAAATAATACCACATTTTCTTCACACACAACACACATCTTGTCCTATAATTCACCTGATGGAAATCAGGGTGCCCATTATAAATCAAGGAAATATAGTAGCATCAGTTTGTGTGGTTTAGGAGTCTGCCAAGAGAAAGTAAAAGTATATCTGCATTTACTGCACGCAGGGTTCCCTAGCTGCTGACTACAGACGCTCTCTCTCAAACCCTCCCCACTCCCAGCAGACACTCTCTAAAGAGATTTTTCTCTTCATTCTACTTTCCAAAAACAAGGGGTGTATGCAAGAAAATATGGTAATTCAGAACCAACATCTATGCAAGATACCTTTGAAAAGCAATAATGTCAGCGGGGACCTGAAGTGTTAGCAGAAACCAAATATACGTTTGCAATGAAAAATGGGGAAAGAGGGACCATAAACTTTAGGTTACCTAAATAAGGCAAATAATATCACACAAAAAAGAAGTGTTAAGTCCCATTCTATACAAAATATACATTGCTGTACTTCTCATACTACAGCTCTGGGCATCTTAGAACTAGGTATCAAGAAACAAAGAAAAAGTGATTTAACAGACATGAAAGCACCCAGGAGAGCACACAAAACACCACCAGACTCTCCCTATGCCTGAACAACGGTGTTTGTGGCCTAAAGCTTGCAAAGAACAAATGTTTCCAGCTATTTAGTTGGTCTAATACAAGATCTCACGTTTACCCAAATACCTTTGTCTTAAACATGACAGATTTTATTCCCTTGAACCTATGGTAATTTTAGCAGAAAACCAGTTTTACAAGCTAGTCTTACCAGAAACAAAATCAACTGCTCATTAAATAAAAGTTTAATTATTTGGTCAAATATCACTCCTGAAACTATTCATAGACAGAGATTCAATATCCACAGCAAAAGAATCTATAGGTTACATAGGTTAACGCAGGAGTGAAGAACCTTCAGGAGGGGTGAGAATAAAGGGGGCTCATGAGACAGATTTATTTATAAAATTACTGACCTGCTATGACCTTTATCTACTGGAAAAATGCGAATAGATTTATCAAAGCTGGCGGACACAAATTCTTTCCCAGTGGGAGAATAATCCACATCAAGAACAGCAGACACATGATCCATGTGCACCATTACAGGCGTCTCCAGAAAGCGCATATCAAAAGTATATAAGCTGTAAAAGAAACGCATCACATTTTAAATACCATCTCATAATAATACTTCATATAGTTTTGTGTAAATCATCATAGTGCTTAGGGTTGGAAGGGACCTAAACAGATCATCAGGACCAACCCACTGCCCCAGGCAGGAACAGGTGCCGGGGTCATAGTTTCATAGTTTCTAGGGTTGGAAGGGACCTGAGCAGATCATCAGGTCCTACCCCCTGCCATGGCAGGAAAGAGTACTGGGGTCAAACAACCCTGGCAAGGTGTTCATCCAGCCTCCTTTTAAAGACCCCCAGGGTAGGAGCCAGCACCACTTTGCTTGGAAGTTGGTTCCAGACTCTAGCCGCCCTGACAGTGAAGTAGCGCCTCCTGATGTCTAGTCTGAATCTACCCTCTGCCAGCTTGTGACCGTTATTTCTAGTCACTCCTGGTAGTGCTCAGGGGAACAGGGATTCCTCCAGTGCCTGCTTGTCCCCTCTGACTAGTTTGTAAATGGCCACTAGGTCCTCCCTCAGCCTTCTCTTGTGAATCATATACCTGTGATTCTTCAATCAAAGAACTAACTTGTCAGGTAGATTACATTGCTATAGATTTCACCTATGTACATAGCTATTTGCACCCACACAACTCAGGTTTTAGAGCAGTGTCTTAAAACCATTCATTTTAAACCAGACAACTGCTAATAAACTACAAAAAGAAAGGAAGATACCTCTACCCAGGGTCAAAAAATCTACAAGACATCTATCTACTAGCTGGCAGATTTATTTGTCTAGTCAGATTCACGTTTTTCCTCTGCTCATTTCAGTGAAGGTGGGTCTCTGTCACTCCACTATACCCCCAGCATCTGGTTTTGATCTCTGACTCAGTCTTCTTTCGCCATTTCAGCTCCATCAAGCATGTCCCCTCAACTCTTCTAAATTACCCATATAGCATAGCACTGCCAGCTCCACAGGTTTTCCATGAAGACGACTCTGCCAGACCCCACTGAGAAATCCCTATCTGACTGACTCCCATCCCCACCGCCCAGCCTCCTAGCCTTGGAACCAGTGCAGGTGCAAGGGCATCTCAGCACATGGAGCAGCTGCTGGCTCTGCACTTTCTACACGAATTCCTACTGCATGAACTCTCACAGCAGGAATGGGGCAAGAGTGAAACAATCAGGACAGGTAAGAACTGTATGCCCCTCCACCCTGGCTTTTAAAAAGAAAGTTTAACCTGGCTTGAGGCACAGGATAAGAGTGAGAGAGAGTCAATACCAGTTTTTATGGCTGTCCTTTAAAATAGTTAGATTTTATTTTCTTCTTAACAGATGAAGCCGTGGGATAGGATCTTTTCCTCCACAAACGCGGGGGGGGGGGGGGTTTTTTAGTAGGGGGGGGCTCCATTTTAAGGGG